TCTACTCCAGTCGAGTGTTTTGAACATACCACCAAAGTACCGTCTTCGAGGCCAGAAATAAGAATAATACATCCATTTTCCTTCAATGTCACTTCGTACGGTCCTGAAGTTTTCTTTAAACTTTCATATTTTGTAGCTGGAACTTCATCCACATTGAAGAATTTGTCGTAACCACGAACTATGATCTTCTCGTTTAACGTAAAAAGCCCTCGGGCATGACAGGGAAGTTTTCGTGATTTATAGACCCATTCGTTAATGATCCAACTGGTGATCAAACCAGCGCTATGATTGATTTCAACTTTCCTTCCTGTCTTCTTGGACTCTGTAAGTTGTCTCATGTTCTCTACAAAGGAGGAAAGCTCCTCGGGAGTATTAGTTGTAGTTTCCATGGGATCAAACATGATGAGTTGAGATTATTCGCACTGAAATATGAGATGAGGTGAGTCAAAGATCAAAGCCTAAAAGAGTTGGTTTATGAGTCATTTTGGTCAATTGAAAAATACGAAATTCAGTTCACAAAAACGAATCTGAACACCAATTTAAACACGAATCTGAACACTAGTCGAATCTATAATGACGGGTCGTTGCTGCAATAGAGAAGTACGACCAGTGAGTCAATTACGAAAATTAAGTCAATTGATTTACACTACCCTCTTCTACGCTCCTCACTCTCTATACACTAATTCACTCCTACGCTACTACACTCCCCACTTCCTTATTTTTTTTAAGTCTACAATTCTTCTCACCTTTCTCACTGATTTTCTCATTTCGCATTTTCGTTTTCATCTGTTTTCTTATGGTTGACGTAGACGAGGCCGATGTGGCCGTGCTCAACCAAAACCTTACTAAATCCAAGGAGCTCTTCGCGTCCATCTCCCGCTCCCTTAGAACAATCTCCGATAAGTCTTCAACAGCATCTACAAAAATCAAACCGATTTTGAAAGATGTCAATCAACTCACTCGCAGTCGAGATCAAATCGATAATGACCTTTCTATTCTTTCAGACGTGCTGAACTACGCTGCCCAGACGGCAAAGCTCGAGGGGGTGCTCTCCAACTCCATTGAGGTCATTGGAGTCAAGCGTTATATCGATACACTTGCACAATCCAAATTGCTTCTCAAAGAAATGAAGCTGAAAATTAAAAGATTTCGAGGTATTTTGATGAATTTTGAGACGCTTATCGACAAGCTGGACTTGAATCTCGAAAACTACTTTCAACGTATCCTAAATCCTCCTAAAGTGGAGGATATTTGTGTGGTATTTTCCTACTTTTACCTGCAATCTACGTTTGAACAAGACACTATCAACAAGCTTTACATTCGCAGTAGAAGCACCAACTTGGTCCAACTCGTCAAGCCGTTGGAGCAGGCTACGAAACCAGTCAAGAGAAACTCGCGGATCCCTTATGAAAAGGGAACAAATGGAATCAATCGCTACAATAACGAATTGATCGAACTGATCAAACTAGAAATTGCACTTGCTGCTGAAATTAACCAAAATATAGCCATCGACCACCACAAGATTGTGTCCAGTATAGTTGCCAGAGTGGTGAATGATAGCTACACTTCGGTGGTGGATACACTCAATGAATTTGTTAGTTCTCAAGGCGTTTTGGACAATGATATAATGCTTCTTGAAGTGATTGAAAACTTGGATCATTTTTCCAAATTCATGGTGGCTAGTAACTTGTCACCTGCAACCATGGATAGGTTCAATGATGCTTATGGGAGACTCACTCAAAGCAGTCGTAACATTTTTGGAGAGTTGATGAAATGGGTGGATGCTCGAGTCACCAGCGTTGAAAAATATAACGACAAAACCATAGCGGAAATCACAGTGGAAATCATCCTGAGGGTCCGCCGAGTCCTGGAATATCCTCTGTCTTTACTTGATTTGATTCAAGGTATTAATTTGGGTTCATGGCTCACCGGGTTGAAATTCGTGCTGGTATACACTTCTGTGGTTTCAAATAATGGGGTAATCGATGATAGTCCGGAAACCTTGTTATCATCATACTTTAGTGATATTATTGACTGTGTGATGATTAACATTGAAATTGGTTTGCGATCTGACGATTCTAAGAAGAGCACTCAAGGGTATTTGCTCATAAAGAATTTGGTTCTTATAGAAACCATCATCAACCGGTCGCACCAGCTATTTGACACTCTTTCAACCATTGGAATGGATCGACTTGCTCGTTTGAAAAATCGATTTCTCAAACTTTTTTTGGACGATTGGAATTACGCTTCGTACATTATTATTCGAGACATGACAAACATAACCACCACAAATGCCATAGCCCACGGAGCAATGCTGCCTCGAAGCTCGAGCCTGGGACTTTCAAGCAAAGAAAAAGAACAAGTCAAGGAATTGTTTCGTAAATTCAATGAATCATTTGAAGAAGCGCTTCAAAATTACGAGAAATTCAATATTTCCGATCCAAACCTTCGCAATTACCTTTCAAATGAAATCAAGAAATTGACTGTCAATGCCTACTTTAAACTCTACGAGAAATACGGTACATCAGATTTCACTAAAAATCGATCCAAGTACATCAAATGGGATAAACATCAATTCGAGCAGGTATTGAATGAAAGACTCTGACGGCCTGCATACAGAGTTCGTATATCCCTATTTACACGTACCACGTCATCCCATCTTGCTTGGCGTCAGAGATTTACCCCAACAACCGCACATGCATGACTCGCGCCATGGCTTGAAAATACCCTTGCTCTTCTCGGCGTGGTATTAGCCATCTGCAGGAGAGACTATCGTGAAAAATTATGGTGCATGCATGTTTCGGCGTGCATCGAGGACGTTCTGTGAAAAATTGACACTGCCCGCAAACGGTTTTTGTGTAACTTCGCTAAAGCCGATGAAATGAGCTGACAATCGGTGACGATCACCACCACTGAAAAGGGACCACAAAAAAAGCTGTACACCTTCAATACTTCTTCAGACAATAGTGCCCTAATTGTTCACAATCTCGTTCACAATCTTGACGTGATTCCGCTTAAACGCCAACGGCGTCATGCACAGGCGCAGTACTGTTACGCTTCGCGGGCTGCCCGCAGGTCTGGGCTCGGCGAAAATAATAGGAGTACACCCGCACACCAGTAGTTAAGGGGGGCCCTGTTTACAAGCCCTGTTCGTAAATAGAGCAGTGTAGATGAATGCAGCGATATGCAAGGTCGTGCATTTGACATCTTGGCATCCCGGATTTGGACTTAGTCTATACCGGCTAGAGAAATGGCGTGATAAAACGAGAGTGTATATCATAGACTTCTTGGCAATGAATAGTTTGTCTGGTTGTGAGTTTACTTCGTAAAGCGTCAAGTTGCGTCCCCTCGCAACTTTATCAGGTCTATCACAGGCCTGCTTAAGTCATTTCAAAAATGTGCCAAGCATGCATGCATATTCAGCCGCGGGCTCACAACCTATTCTTGGGTGGGTGAGATCTTGCAGCGATCGGGCTTATATATTAAGGGTTTTCCGCCCCTACTTTATTTATTGTCGAAACCAGTGAAATATCGCGACGAATTATTTATTTAAAACTACAGCTGGTCTGCTAGTTACAATATGGAACATAAAGTATCATTACCACCCATCTCGGATATCTTGAGGTCTCCTCTGGCAGGCCTTAATCCTCCTCCTCCTCCACCAATTTTACGGCCGCCACTCACCCATCGTTCGTTCACCCATGCTTATCCCTTGAGCCCCTATCAAATGCAATACCAACGCCAAGCCCCAGCTTACCATTATTCTGTGCAAACGCCACAACGGTACATGCCTTACCGAACCAATTCGCTGTCACATATTCCAACCACTCCATCATCATCCACACAAAATAACAATCTTCCACCGTCACCATCATCTATACCCTCGGTATCTCCACGGCTGCTGTGCTGGAAGCTTCCACTGCCCACATACGAGCTGAAATCCACTGCAGGCATCGGTGGAAGTACGCCACGTAGGGGTAGTAATGCCGACCACCTTAGCATGATCCCAGGAGCCAAGCGTAAGACTCGCAATAACCTTCCCAAAGAAACCACATTCATTCTACTCAAGTGGCTTAACGAGCACTTGCATCACAACTCGTTTGAAAAGAATCATCTCATGGCGGCTACAGGGCTAAATCAGCAGCAATTGTCAAACTGGTTCATTAATGCGCGCCGGCGTAAAATTAAATTATTGAAAGAACAACGGCCCGTAGAGGAAGCATAATCATTATGTCACGCTTTTTTTTTTTTTTTGTAGCATGCTGGCATCCTGCACACTTGTTGATGTGCGATGTCATATTAGTGCGCGCATAGATCGGCGAATGAGGGGTCGACGTATATGTCATATTTTTTACCGCAAATATATCGAGACATTTAGTTCGTAATGCAGCGCACCTGACAGGAAAAAAACTTACGAAAACGTGGTACCAAATTATTTTTGTTATACCAATATTTTTAACTACCAAGAACTAATTACGTCACCTGACAGGTGCCGTTTCTTGGTAGGCCTTGGTCCTTGGCACCCAGCGTTCGCAACCGAAGACTTTGCTGTCCCCCACACAAAAATCATTCGTTGCGCCTTTCGCAAACGCACAATGCATGCAGGCGGTGGTGTCACGGTCGTGCGCGGGCAGCAGGGTGCGAACCGTTATCGTAGATCTGCGCCATGCAGATGCGAGATAACAAAGAGATATGATCCAATGCAATGCGTTTGTGATCGCAAACATTCACGTTCGCAAATGATCTTCTTTTGCATGCCTTCCTTCACTTCATTTTCTTTTATTTTTCTCTCATTTTTCTCATACTTTCCCCTTTGTTTATATTGCTCATTTTTAACTATTTGGTTTCGCTTACCTAAGCGCTACATTCTCGCGTATTTGTTTTCTTCACCATGTCCTCTGGTGACTGCTTGGTTGCAGTGGCTGATTCCGTGCTAAATTCCATTGACAAGCTTAACAAAGTTGAATATAACCGCAAGGGACGTAAATACAAGTTTGTGAACAAAACTTTTCAGCGGGTTAGGGAGGAAGATAAACATCTTATTATTTTTCCAGAACAGCCCGAATTGCATTTAGGAGCGGTTTCGGCGTATTCTATATTATCTACAATCAATGACGGTACCATTCTCGAGCTGTACCCGGACTTTTGTCGTGCTATCGTTGGCACGGCAGATTTGCTCGAAACAAAAGGTTCGTGTGAAGTTGGCGATTCTTCAGTGATTCATTATCGTAATTCTCAATTTGATGTTGAGGAATATAAACAAGGAGCTTTTGAACTCTTGGAGCTGGTGCTGGATGAGCATCGTACCATGGGCCTTAATCTTATGCTTTGTGCCAAACTCAACTTTCTTCATACTGACCATCATATTGGAGTCAAAGTGGAAAGTTACTACATGAAATATTTCCTCGTGGAATACTTTGGTGAGGAAGCATTGACGTCACCCGATATACTCGTTGCTTTGAAGAGTTTTGTCCATTGGGGACACATTGGTGGCTTTTTGTATCGGCTCGAAGTTCCAAATATTCTGTTACTGCCACAGTTAAAGACCCTGTTTGACACCCTTCCCGATCCGGTGCCAGAACTCAAAGAAAGCGTTCATGACCGGTATCCTTCTGGTACGTCCAAATACTCGCTTATTAGAAAAGCCATTGATACCATTGCAGATTATCAGTATTCGAGTTTAATTCCTTATCCTCAGGAACCGCAATTCGATTTGCAATGGCTTTACCAGCTATGCCATGATATCGAGCTGGACCCTATCAGGTACCATCTTCGTTCCGCCTCAAAAAGTTTGTGTGAAGAGCCCGTTCTGTTGAACGCAATTGCCAGTAAATACACCCACAACGTCAAGGCACTTTTGGAATTTGTTTCGCTTGTCATTAATACATTCGAAGACACTGGTGGAGAATACTTATTACAAAATAGTAAGATTCCCACGCTTACACCCCAGCTTATCGAGGGTCACAAGACACTCTACCAAGAATTCGAACAAATCAGTACCAGCATACAAGAGTACGAAGCAAAAGATTGGGAACCAGACGAAATCGTTCTTCGTTTGTCCTGTCCAGAACACTCGCTTGTGGATGCAGTCCTGGCTATGAGGCAACGATTTAGCGACGATTACGAGTAGGTCGTGTGGCTGAAGATTGCGTAAAAAACTGATTCACTAATGTTAGGGTACTTGCTTTCCTGGTTCAAAAGTGAACCATCATCTCCTGAAGTCATCAGCAAGGTCCAAAGTTTGATCAATGCAAACAAAATTGTGGTTTTTTCAAAATCTTACTGTCCATATTGCTCACAAACCAAGCAATTGTTGAACCAAGTTGGAGCCAGTGACGTGAACATTATTGAGTTGAACAATGTTTCTGATGGAGCTGCTATGCAAAATGCATTGCAAGAGATTACCGGACAAAGAACTGTACCCAACACTTTTATAAACCAAAAACATATTGGAGGAAACAGTGAATTGCAGCAGTTGCACCGTGCAAACAAACTTGTGCCAATGTTGTAGACAAAACCAGGTTTAGATTCAAGATATAGGTTTATTTAATCGCTATTCAGCTTGTGCTCAACCTAGATTTGAGTTCTGTGTATACATATTAAAGTACAATTTCTAGTTTTAATTGATTTCTCAACTTCAATTCTTATTACTTGGTACTACCTCTCCGTTCTACTTCTCGGTTCTACTTCTTGGTTCTACCTCACCATTCTACTTCTACTTCCTCTTGAATAAGTATTCTCTGGTTATGCCTTATATTGCTGCCTTCAGAACCACGTCACTTTGTTGTTGTTCTCCCATATGAGTTCACCATCACATAACTTCTGGTGGTCGCTGGGCTCGTGCAAAAGCATTGCGCTTCTTGATGGGTTATCGATGCCAGTTTTAGCCTGGTACTTTGCTTGTAATTTCGCCCTAACCTCTTCACTCGTATCACTGTCCCAAACGACAATCTTGACGAATCCACTGGTTGCTGTATCATTTTCTTGGTTTTGCTTTTCAAGTAATATCTTAAGGTGGGTCAATAATCTCAAGGTGTAAATGTCGACATCGTAACCTGGTTCCACATGGACTTTAATAACTGTCACTGTGTTCGATGGATTTCCATCTGCAGCGGTGCTCCAGTCGTATGTCCACACAATGAACCCTACCAAGGTACTGGCTTCTGTGATTTTGAGTCCGAAGACTTTTGGAGTTATAGAGTGAAATTTTTCAACTAGTTCTTCGTAAGAAGCAGCTTCGAAGTCAATGGCTGGTTTCTGGTGAAAAAGATGGTACGCAATGTACTTGGCACGCAAGTGGAACCAGTCAACGTAGTCCAGGGTGATGTTGGGCGATATTCTTGTCTTGTGATCCTTTTCGACATCGTTGATGATTCGCTCTTCGTATCGTTGACGATAAAGTTCAAAGTAAGGTTTGAACTCGTGGTAGCCAAGAAGCGTAATCGTATCACTGGATGATATGGAAGTGGTAAGTGTGGAAGAAACGGGAATATGGCACAATGGAACACTGAAAGAAATGAACCCATTGCGATTATAATATTCACCAACTTCAGAGTACAAGAATGTAAAACCAGAAGAACCCATAATACTCGTTTTGGCTTGTTTCATCAACTTGTCCACCATGATTCGAGCAAGCCCCTGGCCTCGATATTGTGGGTAAGTAAAAACACCTCCAATGGCTCCACATTCCACTGGTTGTTTTTCAGCTTTGGTTCCATTAAAAACAAACTTTGTGGCGTCTCTCACCAAGAGCTCAATGGATGCAAGTTTGTTGTTGTTTGTCGAGTCTTCAAGCACGAAAACCATCAATTTTTTAACGGCTTTTGATTTTGCAAGCACAACTTCTCTAGTTATATACTGTTGTAAACTGAGCACACCACGCCAAGAAGCACCATTCTGGCTACGTGTGAAATCAAGAAGATCTCTATCGGTGATGTGAACAAGATTATAATTGTCAGGAAGTGTCATTAGGAACAGATTGTGGATTTGAGGGGTCTATAAATGCGTGGCCGTTTGCAACCGAAATAGAACTTCTCGCTCGGAGATGCAGTTAAGGGTTTGCCGGTGGTCTGAAAACGGCAATTTTGGCGACTGGCTTAGGGTGCGCGCCAATACACGGCACTAGACGGCTGCAAATTGCAGGGTTTATCAGAGTCAAAAAGAAAGGGAGTGTGGAGTATTACATGTAGAGTGTTCTATCAGGGGATTGCCTAAAGTATTGGCTTGAAAATTCAAGTTATTTTTGGATCTTTCATTTGAAGTTGTGGTATTAGTTGTCGTATTCTTGTCAGCATCGTGGAACTGAAGTATTAAAAATGAGTGTGATCTGGTCGCAGTTCTGAGCAGTATGTGGTAGTTTAAGTCCCTATCTTTTCTTTCAATTTCGATTTCAGTTTAATTCATGAGGGTTCAACTCGCTTCGTCGGTCCTGCACACTCTCGTATTTTCTCAAACCGCTATACAGCAGTATCGACATGGAGTTACTACCCCAAGGTCAAAAGAACACCGCCACCGAGGTCTCGTGGGAGGACCAGCAACGTATAAACAAGTTTTCGTCGCTCATAAATAAAAAAGATGATTTACAAGACACATTGAAAAATTACACCGTCGAGAAGGAATATCTTGATGATCTCGGATTGGAAATTGAAATGCTTGACGAAGAAGAAAAGATCCAATACAAAATTGGCGAAGCATTTTTCTTTCTCTCTGCAGACCAAGCAACCCTCAAAATCGAGAAGCAAGACGAAGAATTGGCAAGCAAAATATCCAAGACTGAAGAAACCATTGACGAGATCGATGAACAATTGGCGTCGTTAAAAAAGCAACTCTACGCCAAATTTGGGTCCAATATCAATTTGGAGCGATAACCGATACAATCTCGTTTGCATTATCTACTAGATTTGATATCATTGCAGAATCGAATCATGCAAATCATTTTACTAACTCTTAGACTACATAGTCAATCAAAGTGAAATCCATGGTCCTCGAGCACTTTGTCATTGACTAGGCACCCAGGGTACACCGCTTCCAATTCTTCGTAGTTGGCGGCTAGTTTTCCTGTGGATGTTCTATACTTGACATATGCTTCCTTTATACGTTTCATAGATGCTCGCACTCTTGTCTGGTGCTTGTCCCAAACCATTGGTTTGAGTCCAATGCCTGTAGACTCTATATTTTGTAGCACCTGAGCATTGAGACTATTGCAATACTTTACATCTTCTGGGAATTTCAAATCGTGAAATTCTTTTCCTGGACCTTTAAGTTCAAGTCTTTGCTGTTCCCATTCTGCCATTTTCTCTCTAGACGGAATTTGCAATTTCCCAGACCATACTTTGGCAAGCCAACATGCTTGTGACTCGGATGTTCTTGCTGGAAGTACAAACTTGGGAAGTCCCAAAACCGCCAAGTTGGGAAAGTTATACAAGATAATGTGTTGGTATGTTCCATGTACCATCTGTCCATCGGTGATCAATGGTGTAGAAGACTGGTCAAATTCTTTCAAGAAAGGAAACGATTTGAGGTAGCCTGTAGCAAATATGATGTTATCAACGTTTTCAGTTTTGGTTCCATCCACAAAAACCACAGTTTTTGAAAACGAATCAAAATGGTGGATGTCGGGGTTTTCAATAATTTTTGTACTTGGACTGACTGGCAGTGGGTTATCGGACCGCCTTGACTTGTAAATGTTCTTCTGCAAGCCCTCAGCTAGCTGGTAGCAGATATCTGCAGCAGATGCTGAGTTCCCCACAACGACAATATTTCCTTCAACCTTGGCAAATTGAGCACATGATTTGAATGTCTTGACATGACTGATAGAGTAAGGGAAACGAGAGTTCCACTCGTCCATGCCTGGCTTTGTAGGAAGGTATGGAACATCATAGTTGCCCACAGCTATTGCAATTGCGTCAAAATACTCAACCTCATCTCTCACCTTCTCACCTTCAACTTGGCCTCCCAAAGTCTCTTGACAAACCAAACGAGATACCACTTTCCATTTATCGATACTTCTTGTCACCAGCACCACTATTGTTTCCAATTGAGTCACCAGCCGTATTTCTTCGGCGTATTTTTGCATATATTCGTTGACATCAGATCGATGCGGAAAGATGGGAAGAGAATCTGGAAATTGTAAACTTCCATAAGTCATCACATCTTTGGGGACGTTTGTATCCAAGTGTTCGTATGCGGGAGTGGGCCATATAATGTTATCGTTGTCCAAAATTGGTTTCACAAAATATGGTTTTTCACTGGGAGTTGGTACAATATCGGTTTCACCACGGTAGTTCCAAAGACCCCCGAACTGGGATCTCCTCACAAACACCTTGATTCTGAAGCACCTTTCTCTAAGTAGAGCCTTGGCCATAGCAGCGCCCGAGGGACCAGCCCCTATAACTGCAATTGACTTTGGAATCATGAAAATGAATCATGGAAAGAGAGCAAAAAAGTGCGCGAACACCATAAATATAATACATAGAGCTTATTTTCGATAAAATACATGCCGGGACCATACTAGTCCTCGTCGCTATCTTCGTAGGTTGGAATGTCCGGAAGATGATCTCGTTGCTGGTCGTTGTCGTTTTCTTGTTCGTTTTCAATTGGTCGTTCACCAACTTTGGGACGTTTCGATGGCTGCGACGGCTGATGTTCATGTTCACGTTTCACATGTCCCAGGCCTGCTGGTGGTTTTTTGGCCTGCTGCGCACGATCCCTGGCCCGTGTTTTCCATGCATTTGAAATTTCTGGGCATGCCTTGATGAGCTCCTGTTCTGACACTCCATCTTGAATACTATGTATAACCTTCTCTACCACCGAGAAATGGTTCCCGTTGCTCTTGTCGTTTCTGAACCGAAGCATCTCCCACACCCCTGCTGGCTCCTTCAACCGGCGACACTCGACAATTCTGCCCTGGAGAGGCTGGTTGAGTTGTTTTAATCGTTCCCAATCTTCGTCGTCGAGTTGGAGTTTGGCAAAGTCTTCGTACTCTCGTCCTCCTTTCCAAACCTTGAGTAGTATCGTATCGGGCTTGCTGTCGTAGTCAGTATACGTGGAATCGGGGTCTCGAGGGTCCATATCGGGGTCTTGGTACTTGTTGAAGACTAATTCCATCTTATAATCAACGGTATTTTCTTCCGCCGGTTTCCACTTAAGGAGGGTCTGATCGGTGCCGAAAACATACGGTGTTTCCGCACACGTGAAGATGAGCCCATCGGACTCATGGAACAATTGCTCTTTTTTAGCCAATACCTCATCGGCATGGTATGACGAAGTCATGAGTTTGAAACTCACTTTGAAGGGAAAATCGGGAGCATTCACTAGGTCGGGGTTTTTGAGCTTGAAGTTGTCGAATGGCTTCATAACATGCTCGGTAATGTAGCCGAGTCGGGTGGATAATGTTCTCTTGGTAATGTCCTTTCCATTGATAGCCAAGGCATCAAAAATACAGTAGCGCAAAAATGGTTCCGAGACGTTTTTTGTTTCCATCACCAACTCGCCGTCCAACAATGTTCCATGGTGGAAAGACTTGCCATGCTCCTCGTTGTTGAGAGGGAAATGAATCTTGGGTATATAGTAATAGTCGTTTTCTCTGGTGATCAAAAACACCCCTTCTCCTCGCTCAGGATGGTTGATTATGAAGAGTAGGCACCGGAGCCCATCGGACTTCTCACAAACAAAATAATCTTTTCTCATTAGCGTTTCTTTCAAATGGTACCTTTCGAACGACACCGGTTGAGATCCTGGAAACGAGGCATTTTTGCGTCCCAACAAATCTGCAACCATCAACCGGAGTTCCTGTGCTTCTTCGCGTTCCAAAACCGGGCCAGGGATCGCCGGCGAGTCGCTTTCCTCGAGTTTTATCATGTTGGTGTTGAGAAAACAATGTCGCGATGTGTTGAGAATTAAGTTGCAAGCGCGACACCAGACAGTGTGCGAACATAGGGCCATTGGGATTGTCGTGCGATTGTCGTATATGCTTTATGTACTACTGAACAGAAAGCTGTTCTGTCGGGTATACGCTGCTCAAAACATCATCCGTAGATATCAATCCGTACTGGCTGGGATCCAATGGTGAATTAATCATGTCTTCGAGAAGTACATCTTCATCCAGATGGTACCCATTTTCTTCAAGCTGATGATGTTTATGGTAGCAGACATTGCAGCACACACCATCAGGCTTGTTTAGCTCTGAACCTTCCCACCAAATAGGGCTAAGTATGGAGGAACATTCAGTACATTTCTTTTCATCGAGTTTAATCTCTTTTGCAGCTTCCTGCTCATTTTGACTTCTCATCAAAGCAAGCTGATTGGAAAGTGCAAGTGGACCAAAGTGTGAGCTTGCTTGTTGTCCTTTGGTTATGTTTTCAATGTGCATTTGAAGAAGTGGTTTTAATGTATTGGTACCATTCATCTTTTTGCCCAACTGTTTCAATGGATACTTTTTGCTACCAATTTCCAGCACCACATTATGGAACATAATGATGGGAACAATGCGACCAGAATCCAGCTCAACGCAAGCCGTATGCTTGTTATCAGCTGTTTCTTGCAAAGTGAACCCAAGACTATACCCGTCAGTAATCTGAGCACAAGAAATATGTACTTTGGTCTTTTCATGTGGAAGCTCACAACTCAACATGGCTCCACCATATCGCTGACATATATGGCACTTGATGTTGTGGTTCTCATACAAAAGTTTGGAGACACTTTTCACCGTTATCAACTGCAAAACTGTATTCTGGTCCAACGGATTCTTGTTTTTCTTTTTTGCAGCCGTCACTCCCAAACTCACAGAGTCCCCAGCGAGCACAGCGCACAAGTAATGACACCACATTCGGGTGTCTTGGACACATCTCAAGTACTCGGTGTTTTCTGGAAAAGTAGTAAAGCACAAGCAGCAGCTGTATTCAGTGGATGAAGTCGGTATACTTTTATGCACACAAGGCTCGCATAACCAGTCCACCGGTTGCGGAGTGGAGCTTGGAATAGATATACTGGCACACGTAAGGTGCACGTCAACTCCACAGGCTCGACATTTCAAAAATTCCAGATCTGTGCTGGATGCTTTCTTCTTGGTGATGGTATCCAGAGAGCACAAACAACACTTGTGGCTCTCTTCAGCTTGTTGTTTTTCTGGAAAATGTGCAAAAGGGTATTGTTCCCAATACTTTTCCAAGTCAAGTAGTCTTCTTATTCCTAAGGAATTGATGAACGAGTCGGTAATTACTGGCGTGAGACTCTGAGTAGCAATTTGAGGCACCATATAGTCAGAGTTGAAGACAGGATAACGGACCATTTCGGACGTTTCATCTTTGACGTTCTTTCCCGATTTTGGACCCTCTGCTTTCGATTCTTTCTTCTTTGGTATTCGTGCAACTTTTGTGGTTCCATTTTCTGTGGACTCTGTCTTTGGTTTCGTTGGTTTTGGCTTTGATTTTTCTGGTTTTGGTCTTGGTTCTGATTTCGCTTTTGGCTCTGATTTCGATTTTGGTTCTGATTTCGATTTTGGTTCTGACTTTGGTTTGGCTTTGGGTTTTGGTACAGATTCGGATCTCTTTTCGATCTTGATTGCCTTGCGTGGACTGCTAGCTTTTGTGGGAGCCTTTCGTTTAGCTGGGGATGTCAGCTTTACAGATTCAATACTGGTGAAAGACAGCGTATTGCTTGGTGGTGGAGTCATAGTCTGGCGTTTGATAGACGTTTCCTTGGGGCTATTCTTAGCACTTGAAGTTGCGGCCCCTAGAATGGCTTGACTATCGTGTAAAAGCTCACTTTCAATCTTTCTTTTCCATCCAAAAAGTTTACTTTTCCGTTCCACTTCGTGAGGATCTTCCCATACAACCGCGTATCTTCGCCATAAACGAGCACAGCGAAAACAAAGAGCTGTGTTTTTATCGGCCGTGGTATTATGACCAGTGACTTTGAACCATTGTAACGAACAATCCGTGGAACAATGCTTGCAAACAAATGAACGTTTTTCTGCTTCAATTTTGTTCATATCATAAGAAGAATCGTCGTCCTGATTTGCTAAAGAGTCAATGGCATGTCCATTTATTCCAGTGCTTGGTTCTTCCTCCTTGATGTGGTCCTTTAATTTCTGATCCTTTCGCTTGACTCTGCCTTCGAAATTGCCCCAAATCTGCTTGCCAGCTTCAGTTTTTTTCCACAAGTAATAAAAACGAACCACCATTGAAACAGGTTGACTTTTTACCAATTTTTGTACTGGGAAGAGCTCGCTTCCATAGGTACGTACACCGTTTTCAAATCTTTTCACCTCTTCCTTATTGAATGTAGGCTCCTTCAACTTTGCCCTTGTAAGCTTTGAAACCACAGAAAATGCAGCTTCTGTATCTCCTTTGTGTTCCATATACTGGTACAATATTGCGTCCATGAAGTTTGGAGATGTAGGTAGAATCTTTAAACTTTCAGCCACTGGAACACATGAAGCAATGTAAGAATCAAGCTTCTCAAAATTGTTAGCGATATCATCGTCTGAAGCCTTCCAGAGAAGTTTGCACGTTACACCATCACCGTCGTCTTCACCTCGTTCAATGTACCCCTTTGGCCGTGGCTGAAGCCATTGAGGATAGTCTTTTGGAGAAACGTCTTTGTATTCTTCCGGGACATTGAGAGGAATGATAGTAGCCTCGTCCTTCTTTTTGGACTTTACTGGAGTTTTCTTGGACTTCTTTTTGCTTGAACTTGATCCATTATTCTCAACATCGTAGTAGACTATTGGATGGTCATAAAACTCAGGTATATGTGTAGCCTGGTGCTTGGCACCTAGCCGAGTTGAAGCTCTTGGATAAGGCGAACGGTCTTCGACGTCAACGCCATCTTCGAGTTTGGAATTTATACCCAAGTATCTCATACACCATTCTTCTTTCAATCTTCGTTCTTCAAGACTTGTATCTGCGTCATCATTGAGAAAGTCAATGGCCATTTTTTCATAGCGTGGAAGTTCAGAAGGTGTATTTGCTTTGGAATCGGTATCTGTTTCTTCCTCAGAAACGTCAGTTGAGTCAAGACCATCTAGCTCTTCCGAAAGCTGTTGAGCATTGGACAGTTTATTATCGTGAGAAAGCATCAATATACGCTTCTTTTGATGGGCAATATCGTACTTCTTTGTACACGGAGCACAAGACCATGAAAACCCTCGACTGGGTTTCTTCATAAGAGGTGGATCAAGGCAGTACATGTGAAAGTGTTTTCCACAACTGGCACAACTCACAGATTCTTGATTGGAGCACCATTGACCACATTTATCACAGGACGCAATATCCTTCATGAAACCTTCAACAAATGTCTTCGAGCGCAAGGTTTCAACGAACACATACTCAAACCGCTTGTGTAATGCAATCAAATAATTGTGGCATTGCTCGCTCTTCGATCCGTCCAAAAGTAGCTTGGTGGGTATAATATCGTAGAACTTGACCATATATCGATCAAAAAGCTTATCAAAGTAGAAACAGTTGGGCTCGTTGGCATAGGTTTCTAATGCAGATGCTGGTGTGGGAGACCTTCTTCCAGGCTCGTATTGTGGGTCTTTTTCAATTTCGTATTGGTGCTTGACGGTAACCAAGCCACGGAAACTGGCTAGCGGGCAAGTGTCGGTATGCATAGAGGCGTAAAGAAGCCTTGAGTCGTTGGAAAATTTGGAAATATCTCGAGGTCGATAAAACCATTGCACTTGAAACTGGTATGCTGAAGCATCCTCATGGGTGCTTTTCGTGCTTTTTGAATGGGTTTCTTCAGCGTTGTTGGCTCGTCCCCCCTTGATTTTGAATCCCATAACTCTGGCAACATAGTATGGCTCTCCAGGCGGTTCGCTGATCATGTAGATGTAATCGCCTTTTTGAATGTGGAAAACTTCGGTTTGTTTTCTTGCTCGTTTGGCATTTGCCATTGCTGGACAGTACAACGTTTGCGTAGTAAGGTCAACATAGGCATCTTTCAAGTCCAATTTGTTGGAAAAATAGTCTGCTGGTGTGGGTAAGGGCTGCCAATTGAAGTGAAAAGATGTCAGTTCTGGGATCAAACTAGAAGAAGTTGGTGAAGGACTCGATGGTTTCAGCTTCTTGCGGGCCACCGGAGGGTCGGGGCGATGTTCCTCGAATATAGACTCGTCTATAAAATCATTATAAGACTTATTTGTGGCAGCTTTTCTTTTTGGCCGTGACATTGGAAATATGCTGAAGGTATGTCAAAGGTGGTTTTTATGAAATGTGGAGTGCTATAGACCACAGTATGCCACTCGGGCGGTGTATAACCGTTGGTTTGCAAAAAATTGGTTTTTGCGCCAAATAAAAATGTGAAATACCAACCGTATTCTGCCTCACAACCGCACAGACCAATTATGTAATTTTTCACAGCGATGAATTAAGTGCTGAAACTGGGTCGTCGATGCATTTGTATGTATGTCTATGTAGCGTGTGAGGTCTATATTCGTTTTTCCAAGTATCCGGTCGCCAACGCCATTTCTATTCGTTCTATCTCTTCAATGTCTTGGGCAGTTTCGAGTTGCTTGATCAATTCTTGTTTCTGTTGTTCCGTGAGCTTGCTGGAAGCGCCACTAGCAACCCCCACCGGCTCGTGCGCAGCGTTGTTGTTGGTAAGAAGTTCTTCAACGAGCGGTTTTGGTTCGGAGGCTGTGCCAAAAAGCGTCTCTGCCGCTTCTCTTTCTCTATTTTTCACTTTTTCAAAATCAAGACTTTGAAGCGAAGGAATCGTCCAAATGGCAAATAGTCGGTAGTACGGTATTCTAGTGACCGGATTATCAATTAGTATGAGATTGTGGAGATTTTTCAATTTTGCGAGCGAAACGATCGACTTGAGAGATGCAATTTCGTTAGCCATAAACAGTATAGATTGCACCTGGGGCAAGTTATCGCCCAAATCCTCAACCCTCACAATCTTGTTGTTGCCAAATAAGAGGGTTTTGGCATTGGCAAGCCGCGGAATATTTCCTACTGTTACCAAGTCATTTCCCGTAAAGTCCAAAACCTCAAACTTGTCGTTTGTGATGCCCAAGTTCTCGAGATATTGTATGTGTAGCCCACGCAACTGGATTGTGTATAGCTTTTCTGGGTTCAATACTTTTGGCGCATCATTTATCACCTGGGCAGTGAGTCTCATACAATCTCATGAAAACATTTCACCTAGCTAAAAACTGTATGTAGCACCCAGTGCACCCACACTAGCTAGAACACTGTCAAGCAAGATATGCACCCGTTGCTGTCCACCACCTCCCAGATACACCGCTCGCATCCATAGAGCTTGGAGTGGCCCCATGTCTTTGCCTTGGAGCTTATGGCCGAGTCGGAGTCGTCTCCCAAGTCGTTAGCCTTGATTATATCGATATCGTTGTCGATGAACTCCGATTCATTTCGATTGAGAATTACAGGTCGAACGCTATCGTTGGCGTTTATGGTTGCCAAGAAATCCTCCGGTATGTCTCTGAAATACATGTCGGATGTAGCTCGTGGTTCTTCTTTGAAGTTTTCAAACATTTCCCAGTTGCACTTGTTCCACCTCATAAAATCCAAACTTTCAGGAATCTGGCCATTGTGGATCACAATTTTCCTCAAGACCCCAGTTCCGATTCCTCTGGGTGTTAAATCGTATAGAAAATCGAGTCCCAACGAAAAGTAGTTGTGAAATTTGTAGAGCGAGTTGTCGTGGATGTCGATTCCAAGAGACTTGGATAGGTGATTGTGGATGAGAAACCTCGAGTCGAATTTATTGAAATAGTCGTCAGGGGGGCCAAACAAGTTTAGTATTTCCTGCTGGGTCGTGCGGCCGATGTTTATGATGTGGTCTCGATCGTCAAACAACACCTTCACTACTCCCTCTTTAACATCAATTTGCAACTTGCGGATCGATGTTACTGCAACTACCGGATCTGCCACAAGTGCTGGTGCCACTTCAGACCACGAGTCACCACTGTGAACAGAAATAGCCGTACAGGTGACGTCGGGATAACTAGAGTTGAGAAGGGTGGACAATATCTTGTCTTCATCGCCAGCGAATCGACTCACTTTTGTCACCAAAACCTTCAGATTAATGTGGAACTTGAAAGATATCCCATTGTAGCTGAGAATGTAGTCTTCTCCTTGTAAAGTTCCGGGATAAGTGGGCCCAAATATTTTGTTGTAAACTGTCTTGAGTGTGAGAAGTTCATTGTTATTTTCGTCATGAACCAAAGGATTCAAGACCTTGTTATTGTATGAAAGCTTGAGTTTTTGCAAATCCAAGATCTCAATGAGCACCAATTTCAAACTGGAAAACACCAAACGAACTCCAATTTCTGGTAACAGGATCATTACCGGGGTATTTAAGTAATCCTTGCCGGAATAGATAATCTTCATTTTGTACCCAAACTTGTCCAAAGCCTTGATAGTTGTGTACAATGACTTTCCCAACCTTATGGTGTTTCCGATTCCCTTTCCTGGGAACAAAATGGTGTTGTCTAGCATGGCAATAAGTGAGAGTGATAAGAGTGACTGATTGCGATTGAAACACTGATAGACCATGTGCAGGAAACGCGAAACAGAGGAAGCTAAAGAAAGAGTAGTCGCGTTCAGTAGGCATTTATTCACGTTAGCTTCTTTATAAACCGAGAAAAGCCCTTGGGTTGTGGCTCCGCTACATTAGATATTATCTCCACTGGAGTTTTCTTGGGTTTGGATTTGGGCTTCTTGTCGGATGTAGGGTTCTTTACCTTATCGAGGCGCCGGCGCTCTTAAATCGGGCAAAAATGATATCATCGAACAATAGAAGATGAAACGATAATGAGGTTCAGCGAACAACCACGTAATTTAGCCGATTGTGTTTGTTATTGTGGTTGAGTAGTCAACACATCGCCTTGAACTCCGGTCTTATCTTTTGCTGTTTCTCGGCATTTTCAATGAGTACAGCGGCTGCACTTGCTACCGGGGATAAACTCTTTTTCCCAAAACGAACGTACATATGCACGTCCCAGATCCATATCCAGTACACCTATACACAAGGTGCATAAGCCGCCATAAGCCGCCATTGTGACACCTGCAGGAAAAACCTTCTGCAGCATATGGCGGCTATTGTGTCCAATGCTTAGGGATTTGGCCCTTTAAAGGCGGTATCGCCCCTGTTGTTCGCGCTTTCATCAAATTCTTCAAGTGTTGGGCTGATTTTCCATGAACTTTTATCTTGTTCCGCTGGTGTCGTATCAGACCCAGCAGAAAATGAAGTCGCAAGTAAACCACCATCGGTCCAAGAGCCGTCGGACTTCTACCCGGTCCTCGGTGTCCACCGTGGCTGGCTCCCGCGTGTCTATTGATAGTGGAAACAGTGGAACCACTGCGTGTACTACTGCTGCCAGTATTACTGGTGAATCGACCCGAGACAAATCCATATCCAATGCCAGTTTAATCGACTACTACGGACGCTCACTGGTGGCTCTGGAAGCACCCAAGCAAGCGCCATCGATGAACTACGACTCGGTGGCCGATATAAACGAGTTTCTCGAGGTGAAAAAGGAACAAACGAGACGGAGCTCTAATCGTAAGAGCCGAAGCAGTGGATCGGGTTCCAACTCGATTGCATCTTCTCGTGATCCCATACAATACCAACTGGTTCTGGAGGAGCCAGAGACCCCTACACAACCTTCAGCGAAAACAATTGACGAAATTCCGGCTCCTGTGCTCATGACATTCAAAAATATCGATTTCGATGGCCGGAACTCTCCAAGTCAAAACACGTCCCAATCACCACCAGAAGAAGACTCCACAGCCAGAAACTCCGCCAGTGAACCCGAACTCACCCGATGCTACTCTGACGAAAGTTCAATCTTTAGTATTCGAGAATCAGACAAATTTATTAATTTATACATTATCTCCTTTCACATGGTGTCACTCAACCACTCTTGGAGTTTTCGCTTGTAGTTGCATCGTCAGGACTGTGGATTTCTCCATGGGCGGTGGTTCCATCAATGGCACCTTCAGGGTTGGACAGGGCAGCCTTCAACTTGGCGACCCGAGCATCTGTAGATCTGATTGGATCAATTACATAGGGCAGTTTGTCGCTGTCGTTGGACTCGATGTCCTCTTCATGGTAAGCAAACTCACCAATTTCAGTAAGATCTGTTCCCATCAATTCTTCATCTTCATGTAACCGAAGTCTCAATTGAGGTACCTTGTCCAAGACGAACAAAATAATGAAGGTTACAACAAAACTCCACAAACCCACCGAGCATGTACCAGCCAATTGGTAGCCCAATTGTTTGTAATGGTGATTGAACCAACCTTGGTAGAGAGATGCACCCAGAGGATCATTTGCAACCGAACCGTCAGAAGCACCAACATAATCGGCTGCGAAAAGACCGGTCAAAATCGAACCACAAATTCCACCAACTCCATGTAACGCAAACACATCCAAACCGTCATCAATTTGCAAGAGCGACTTCAAGTCCACAGCAAAGTTACATACTATGGCAGGAATAACTCCGAAAACCGGGGCGGTATAGACAGGAACAAATCCAGCAGCAGGAGTAATACCCACCAACCCGGCAATGGCCCCGGTACATAAACCAACTGTAGACCACTTTCCACCGGTTCTGAACCAGTCAACAAACATCCATGTCAATCCTCCACAAGCAGCAGCAAGATTGGTGTTCACACAGGCATACCATGAACGAATGGTAGCATTACCGGTGGAACCACCGTTGAAACCAAACCACCCAAACCACAAGAAAATCGTTCCCAACACAATAGAAGACACAGAGTGTGGTTTGTACTTGGGTACTTTACCTGTAGTGAGAGGATCGTGTCTTTTACCCAACAACAACGAGTAAGCCAAAGCTGCGAAACCGGAATTTTCATGCACTGGACCTCCGCCAGCAAAATCAAGAGCGCCGAGGTTGAAGAGCCATCCGTTAGCACCCCAAGTCCAGTAAGCAATGGGACAGTATACCACCGTCAACCAAATAAATAAAAACACCATCATTGGACCCAACCTTGCTCTTTCGCAGCCAGCACCTACCATCAAAATGGCAGTGACAGCAGCGAACATTCCCTGGTAGAAACAAAAGAGAATTGCAGGGACGGAGGTGACCACAGCAGGAGCACCAAATACATCCATAAGTGCAAAATTTTTCATGGTACCCAAAAATACCGAACCACCTTCAGAGAACACCAACGAGTAACCCCAGAAAAACCATTGAAAAGTGGTTACACAACACGCCATAATAGACGCCCACATAAGCGATAACGCGTGTTTTTTCCTGGACATTCCTGAGTATAAAAGACCAACACCAGGAATCATGATCCAAACAAGAACGGCGGCGGTTCCAATCCATGCCATATCAGCCTTATCGAATTGTTCATTAAGATCAACCTTCATAATATCGCCACCGGTCCCGGTGCCGGTGAATTTAGACGAGTCGGAAGACATGAAGAAAGTTGTGGAAACTGGCAATTTGCGGCCATTTAAATATTGCAGCCTAGCCAATGCTATCATGTAGCCGGTAATCTTGCATATATCGGCCAATCACAATGCGCGATGCGATAAGCGTCTCGTAATTGCGTGCAGGCTAAAACGATAAAAAAAGAAAATGTACAAACCAAAAATTACGGCAAATAGCCACGTAATTTGTCGTAACATTTTACTAGGCAACTTTCAATTCTGTAGAGCTACAACTCGTCTCTGTCCATTAATATTCTCATCGTCGACCCCACAACAATTACGAAAGGGTTCATGGGGCTGATCACCGGTACCGGCGACTTCTTGGCATTTGAGATAAGATGCGGCGCACCACCGCACGTGAACTAAACGAAAGTTATCGGCTGCGGCCAATGGCATCGCGCCTGTGATTGCGACGGTGTCCGGGTGAAGTCTGCGGTCTAAATTGCGACTGAACCAGGTGTCGTCCGGTGTCCGGGTGTACTCCACATGGTCTTTTCCTGCCTGTAAATTGCGACGGTCCTGCAGAAACTCCCCAGTCTCTTCCGTCATCGCCGACTCACCCCGCGCCATCATCTTCATGTCTGACTCGCAATACGGGTATGCCACGTCTGTGCTCACGTCCAAGTCCCCACAAAGTGCCGCGGCTCTTGTAGAGGTGGCTTTGGGTGACACTAAAGGACCGGTTCTGGCAGGAATGTTGGAGTTTTTTTCGAGTTATTCTCAAATAATTCAGCGTCATAATCAATCACTTACGAATATTTTGCAACAGGCCACCGGAGTTTTTCCACAAGGACCCAATTCCGAGTATGGCAACTTGCCCAAGGCATGGAATTCGCTTATTTCGGCTTTGCAACAGGATATTCATGCCAATGATGTGTATTTCAAGAACCTCAAGTTAGACTGTATTGGACCACTTCGCCAATTGAACGACAATGAAATGGGATACTCGGAGCTTCTTGTCAATTCGCGCGAATTGAACCTGGTGGCTGCGAAATTAGCTTCGAATTCAAGTGCAGATGCCGAATACCAATGGAATATCAAGGCTCCTCAAACGTTTGATAATCTTGAAAATTATAAGCGTCACGAAAAACAACTTTTGTTTGATACCGTGCTCAATTTCTTCAACTCGACTAATTCGCGCTACTCCAAGTCGGTGACCGCTAACGAAAAGGCAGTCAACCACTTGCTTGGTGAGTTTCGCATCGACCGCGAGATGGAAGACTACTTGCAATTTTTGCTCAAAAGAAACGTAGATGCCAAGATTGTTGGTGGCCCTGGAGCAGCAACCACGTCTCCTCATAAGAAACGGCTTTCTAGCTTTCCTCGGCATCCAGACCAAACTTCTCTCTACTCTGCTGGCACATCTTCTTCCACACCCACTGCTGCTTCTTCCAAGAAGAAACCATCCAAATTGAAGTCCAAAGTAGGATCGATCTTTGGACGTAAAAACAAACGAAATTCCAAGGCCAATGCGTTCAGCGACGAGGCAATTGCCGAGTCAGAGTCTGCGTCGTCCACTCCTCGTCTCACGAGCAAATCAACCGAATCTTTCAACAGGTTGAATAGTGTCTCGGGCCACCAGTCTCAGCCCCCACAGTCCCAATTGCAGTCTCAACCACAGCCTCAATTACAGCCTCAATTACAGCCTCAAGTTAAATCGGCTCAACCACAGCCTCATAATTCGGCTCAACCATCCTCTCAGCCATTGCAGCCCACCTCTCAATCTGGTCCTGGGAGTTACTATGCTACATCGCTTGCGGGAGAGTCTCTGAATGCCACCCCACCAGCATTCCAGTCCAACACCCAGTCTAGTCTTGGTCCTTCAGCTCCACGCTCTGGGTTTGAAGACGACAGTCTGTCGCCCAACATAGTCAAGTACAACGATGACACAAGCTCCTCTTCGTCGTCGGTGGACCACGGTCATGAACTCTCGATGCTCAAGAAGCACGATTTGAACTCTCCTGTCAATCCTATGGCTCCTTCTGACAATATCGATCCAGCACCATCGCTGTCTAATTTACAAGAACTGAACACTGCAAGCACCGGATTATCTTTGCAGCCTCCTACCCAATCGCTGGAATTGTTGGATGTTGCTAGATCTCGCCAAAGTAGCGGCGGTAAGTACAGCTTTGAGGAAGGTGACGACAAAAACCCGGTGGCTACCTCTCCTCGGTTTAACAGAAATGAGGAAACGATTCCCGGAACTTTTGACCAAAGTCCAGAATATAACAAGGCCCAAACTCGTCTTCCTGAACCTGATTTGGAATCTCCAAAGAAAAATAGCTCCGCTTTTCCAAGCGCCATTACCGGTGCTGCTGCTGCTTTGGGTGCTGGTGTCGCCGCAACTGCTTCTACTGCAGCTGCCTACGGTGCTATCGATAAAAAGACGTCTTATGAAGATAAACAGGTGCCTCCACCTCCTCCTCCACCTTCGAGAAAAGTACTTCATCATCCTAGCACCGACTCTCCTCCAGTGCCTTCATCTTTAGATAAACCTAAAGCAAGAAGAGACGTGAACTCGCAAATGTTTCATAATCTCCCTGGAGCCCGTGAGTCGTTTGCTCCACCTTCGACTTTAATCAGCCAAGATACAGGCAATTCCATGCTCAGAAAGAATGATTACTTCAAACATTTTGAATCCGGTAGCTTTGTGGAGTCGTCAGGTTTGAACGCATCTATTGCAGAAGTTATTAATGTATCGTTCAAAGACGAAACGATCTCTACTTCACAGGTTGTTGGCGAGATTGCATTTGTCTACAACGGACATGAAGGAGCCAATTCTCCTATCAATGTTCAAATACCTGCTGCTTTCAATAAAGTATTGGAAAATAATACTTTTGTCAAAAAAATCGAAGGTGATGCATTTCAAATAGACCCTTCAAAGATTCTCTCTCGCACATTGGGAGGCTTGAAGTATATGATTCAATTGAATGAGTCTCAAGTGCCAATTATCATGCAACAAGTGTGGAAATTTGAAGACCACCAGGCAAGTCTTATGATCAACTTGAAACTCAACCCTGCTTACTCCGACTCTTTGAGACTCGACAATTTCGTTGTTTCTGTGGCTTTAGATCCTTCGGTGCAATCGACTTCTGCATCTTCAAGACCTCAAGGCTCATTCAGCAAAGAAAAGAATAGAATAACATGGAGATATCCATCGCCTTTTGTGTTATATTCTGAAGAGAAATTGATTGCTAGATTTCTCACAAATGGTAAGGGTAGTGAACATGAGTCTGGGGTTCAGCTAAAATTCTCGATAATAGATCCACCAGTTGCCTTGGCTACTATTTACACTTCTGAGGGCCATGTGTTACCTTCGGCTCGTCACTTGGTTTCGGGAGCTTATAGTAGCCACAGCTAGACTATAAAATTATGTAAATTATTGATGTTTGACGTTTCAATTACTGTAACAGCCTATACAATACCTCGCTTCCTTCATGGCATCGAGGTTCCAAATGAACTTTGAACCGTTTAGGTTCGAAAGATGTAGCTGATGGGCATGCATTGCTTTCAAACGGATCCAATTCCATGGCTTCTTCTATAGGTCGGCGGATTCTGAAGATCAAGATTAAGCGACAGATCATTGAATACATTTCTTGTGTGGCTAAAATGTTTCCAGAACACTTTCGTGAGCCAGCACCGAAAGCAAAATGATCCATCTCTCTTCGATCTTTCAATTTCATAGTTCTAGGAACGAGCCATCTAAATGGGTCAAACTTCATGGGGTTCAGGAACTTCTCTGAATCGTGGTTGGCAGCGTAAGCATTCATGTATAGCACCGCGCCTTCTGGAATAACTACTCCGTTGAACTTGATCACTTTAGTCGTTTTTCTAGGGAGACTTAGTGGAAGAACCGTAAAGAAACGAAGAGCTTCTTGGACTAATGCAACGACAAAATTGCATTCCATGTTTGTTCCACAATTATTCCAAGCATCATTTATATCACCATAACAATTCAAAAGCTGCGAAAACGCAACTTGTTGTAATGCATAGCCATAGTCTGGTCGTGATAAGTGGCCCATCAAATGATTGATAGTTAAGGGGGTGTTATCAAGACCAGCGCTCACCATAGTTAAGCAAATTGAGTTGAGTTCGTGGTGCGCTAAATGTGAGCTGTTCTTATAAAGCCTTCCAAGTAAGCTAGTTCTCGCAGCAGCGTCATTGTTAGAATACCGCTTCTTGAAATCCCTTGACAATTCATTCATATAATTGTCTCGACGAAGCCGATACTTTGATGCCAGTAATTCCCAGTTGCCGAAATATTTCAAAAAGGGTAGAAAATCGGGCAACCAGGATCCCTGGCCTCGTAATTTAATAATCTGATTTTCCACCTCAATAATCTCCTGAGATATCCTGCCATGTTTGCCATAACAATCAAGGGTTATCCCATATGTAAGCTGGATTGCAGACCTCAAAGCAAAAAGTTGGAAATAGGGTAATAAATCAATATCAGACAATCGGCTTCTAACATGAGACAAAAACGTCGAAGGAGAGCCTTTTAGTTCAACATTGTTTCTGATTATCATACGCAAGGTATACTTTACCTGTTGGTCAAGTTGTTCTGCTATCATATTCACAGATTTCCGATTCAATTCCAGAGATAGTGCTTGCTTTGTCTTGAAGAGAGACGAGCTAGCTGGTGTAGAGCCAATAGTGAAACCTTGAGATTGTGAAACAATATTATGAAAAATGTGCAGAGTCGGCCGTGAATTGTTCGCACTGGCACTTTTACCCCACAAAAATTCCACGCTTTGGTATGAATTCGCAACCACAATGTTTCGGAACCCCAAACGTACTTGAAAAACAGGAACTTTGTAGAACTTTGACCACTTGAGGTACACTTTGGCTGGGTTATTTTTCACTTGCAACAAGTTACCAACAATAGGATAGCTTGGAATTTGCTTAATGCCTGGAATAGGAGGCTCAACACCCAATGCCAAAATGCAATCTTCAATAATCCAGGCAAATATGAAAAGCAAAATACAATCTGTCACGAGATACCATAGCGACGACATCTAGAGCAATCTGTTTTGACTTATTGGTGTAGCAAAATCAATCTTGAACACAAACGAAAACTGCTGTCGCAATTGAATGCACAAATAGAAGAATTGCAGTTTCCAGCTTTACTTGTCAACTGAGTTCTGGGTAGGATCCACATAACCAACCTTGTTCACAACTACCGATCTAGTGTCTGAGCTGAATGGTAGATTGTATTTGAGGGTACCACGAACAATTAGGTCAAATGGATTCTTAGAAATTACCTCCCATTTTTTCAGATTATCGGGTTCTGTGGAGTTGTCGGTGCTCATAGAGCCAGTTATGTTCTTCCCGGGTGTCAATAATCGGATCTCGCCGGACTGTTCAATAGGATCGCGGCTGAATATTCCACCAGAAAACGTCATTGGAGGATCCAACTTGTAAACTGTACCCAACAAAACCGTTTCCACTGCACTGGATTCAAGCAATTGTGGGAAGTAGTCAGGTTGTAGGTAGCCGCTTTTGGCAAAAACATCGAGCTCCACCTCATTTATTTCCACGGTAAACCAGCCAGGGTTGAATGCAGACACTTCGATGTTAAAAACGAGTTCATCCTTTGAAACTAATGTATCCGAGATATGACTCAATTGGACGTTGGTCAAATCTTTTGTTGACGCGAGGACAAATCCCATGATGAAACCAATACCCAATATTCCAATAATGCTCAATAGTGTATAGAATAAACTTCGCCAAAAATACACTCGATTTGCACGTAATGAATCCATACTCATACGATGTGAAACACGTCGATTGTTCTTTTGCAGCAAAAGCGGTGATGATACGTTGTGGGACCCTATTGCTCGCTCAGGATCGCTTCCACCATCTTCCAAATCATCATATTCGTAATAGTAGTTTTGGTGGTCGGGATAGGCGAATGGAAACATATCGCGGTTTTTTTCGTTTGCCGGAGGAGCCAAGGGTTGGCCGGTGGATAGATAGCGCTTGTTGGAAGCTCGTTTCTGAGCACTGGGATACAAGTTAAGCGACCTGTAATGTGGGATTTTTCCTCGAGGTGCATTGAGAAGTGACGACGATTCGTTCATGCCGTAGCTGTTGGTTTGGGTATTCGCATAGGGAAAACGAATACTTCCGTCGTAATAGATGAGATCATCGTCAAAATCTTCAATGTCGACATCGTCGGGAATGATGCTATATCTTCGAGGCTGAGACCCTTTCTTATTGAAAAGCTTGGAGGTTGTAGAACGAAGTTTGGATGACGAGACCGATGACTTGCAGTTTTTCTTCGAGGTGTTCTTGCTCGTAAGTGAAGTATTGGTTGCATTATTTTGCTGGAGAACACGCTGAGCTTCATTCTTCGCACCAGCATTGGGTGCTGGCACAGTAGTGTGAGAAGAGTCCAAGTTGGGGTTTGAGAAAAACTCTCCTTCGGTGGAATCGTCATCGTCTATAAGATCAGCGTCGACGTCGACTGCATCGAACGAATACAGCGATGCCTGGTCTATACTGTTAGTCGAGGTGTATTGGCCCGGATTTTGTGCTCTATCATCTATGGTTGATGTTGGGTTTGCGGAACCTACTTGGTTGTAGTTTGAGTATCCAGACACTGTGCGTTGGTGTGAAGGTCGTTTTGACTGCTCAAAGTAGTTGATGCTGCTCACAGAAGCGGCTCCAGGAGTTGGTTGCGAAGTCTGAGCTTTTGGCTGTTTTGGGACCCGAGACAGAATAGAGTGGATAGACTGTGCTCGTGAGCTTGTGCCTTGGGGTAGTGGAGGAATGGAGGCAGGAAGATGAGCGGCTACCACAGACGGTGATGCTGTAGGATCGTGCGCAGTCGGTGAAGATTGTACGGAATTGATGTGTGTTGCCGTAGGAGCGTGATTAGATGGTTCTTGAGCGGGCTCGACTTCATTAGGGTTATTTTCGTAAACGAAAGTTTCGTCGCTGTCGCTGGAGTCCACATCGTCCACCGCACTGGCCAATTTTGCAGCGAAAAAGTCGGTTTTTGTCGAGCTTTTCTTTGGTTTGCGCTTGGAATTTTTGGGCTGCTCCATCGGCGTACCTGGAGCTGTGGGCGGCCCGCTTCCTATGGGTCTTTCTCCGGCGGGTTCTGCCTCTTTGGGAGGTGGAAAATTAGGATTCACCGGAGATTTGTTGATGAACTCGGATATTTTGCTCGCGTTCTTTGGGAGCGGTTCCTTCGAGTTGATGACCCTTTGCTTGGCTTTGAGCGACTTGTTGATATTGGACATGGCATATTTGACGCTATCGGCTGATGGATCTACAGGTATGCGGAGAGCCGTAGGAGCCGGGTCTGTGGTTGATTTTGGTTTTGCAGCCGCGTTGATGCCCTGGGTTCCTCCTACGTTGGTAGTGGGACCACTGGACAGCGCTGGAGTCGCTAAAATTGGACCTGATGATGGTTGTGAATTAGTGGCCAGAGTTGGAGGAGGAGGTAGCAGCACCGTGGGGATCTCAGATCCATTCTTAAGGGTACTTTCGGAGCTCAGTACCCCGTTTCTGGCTTCTGGATCTCGTTTCAGCATATTTTAGTGACCGGGGACCGCGAGGATAACAGTGGTAAGTGCAAGTTGTGATACATAGACGGCGGTAGTAGTGGGTGTGGTGGGTGTGTCGCGCGGCTTCATGCGATGGGGCTTTTTGCATTGCTGTGGAGAAGAATAGCAATTACGGTACTTGTAGTAATATGTTATGCATTATGACTATGGATTTGGCTTTCTCATTCGATTTAGATCGGCTAGTTTTTTGAAACTCATGTTGTATTTGGGTGTTTCTTTCTCACTGTGACTGACACTGCGACGAAGCTGGGTTCCTTGTCCCAGTTGCAAAATACTTGGCGCTCGGTCTCGAGACTTGGAGCTTGGCGGAGCCGTGGGCACAACCGAGTATTTGCGTTCTTTAAATTGAACGCCAACTTCTTTCAAGTTTTTCTGGTGTTCTGGTTCAACCTTTACAAACCAATCGAGACCTTCGTCGTACTCGTACATGCGATAATCGGTGCCGTAAGGTTTCAGTTCAAGACAGTAAAGTGTGTGCAAGGGCACGTCGAGCTCGCCAATGGAGCTTCTGTCCAAATTGAGGAAGTAGGCTAGCAAAATCCGGAGAACTACTCGGTGTGAAATGAGTAGAAGATGATCGGTAGTACGCTCAATTTCCGTTATCAACGGTCTTAATCTCGTCAAAACGTCAAGATACAGCTCTCCTCCAACCCCAGGGTATCTGTACGTGAGCTTGTTGCGTAACCGTGCCTGGAACTCTTTTGGATACTTTTTTTGAATTTCATCATAAGTGAGTCCTTCAAATTTTCCTCCTCCCAATTCGTTCAACATTCTCATTTCCTTGATGGAAAAGAGATTCTCGTTGAAATATTCACCGCTCTCAACTGCTCGGTGGAGCATTGACGTCCACACACAGAAGTTGGGTTCGGTGGGTATATTATCAAGACTGGCGGGTCTATCTTTGTTGTAGGTCAGACTGTAGCGTAAATGCAATCTTGACGAAAACCGCTCCAATTGCTGTTTGCGAAACTCATGGCGTTGGAACTCCAAGAACCGGGCCAATGCTCGAGAAAATTGACGACCACGTTTTGTCAAATGTGAGTCTCCACCAATACGTCCGCTGAGATTATCAACGCTTTCTCCATGTCTTGTGATCCAGATTTGGCGCTCAGCAAGATTGAAGTTCAATAAAAAGTAAACTGTTTGAGATGCCAAGAATCCCTGAATGTTGTAACTTACTACCTTCTTGCCAACATCGATCATCTTGACATACTGAAATCCTGGAAGTGCTTCTTCCTCCTCGTCTATAGTTTCGTAAGCTTTCTCGTAGTTGTGTAAGCGTCCCACGAAATCTTCAAGCGCAAGCTCAGGGTCCATATCGCGATAGTCAGGACCAGAAAGTTTGAGTCGAATATTGGATTCGATGATGGCAGGATCAGAACAAACACTTTCAAGAAACAAAACTTTAAGCTCACCGTTGGACCGTTGGTTGATTTTGCGAAGTACCTTGCTTCTTCTCAGCTTTGTCGAGTTTGTAGCATCGAATATACCCACCGATCCAGACCCATTGATAACGTAGTCGAGGAGCTGATCCAACGTATCCATGGCCCATTTTTCTCGAATTGCGTTGGAGTTTTTGTTCTCTGGATTGAAGAAATCGGCACCGTGCTGAGGAGATTTGGGATGAGTTTCGGGCGAAGGGGTCAGTTTTTCGTTATTGGGGGTGTTCAGGTCCGGCAACGGTTGGTTCTCTGGACCCACATTATTGACCTTGTCGTTGCGTCGAGTGTTGCCTACGTTGAATACTCGACAATCATGCTGGAGCCAATTGAGATATCTCGTCAACTTGTTGGTGATATACGACTTTCCGCGAGCAGGAAGTCCCACCATGACAATCACGAGTTTGCTTCCCACATCCACGGAAGCAATGCGGCCGTCTGGCGAGGTTTTAGACGACGTTTGGCCCGGAATGTTGAGGGTATATGTCTTCCGAGCCGGTGGAGGAGGTTTCTTGAGGAGAAGCGATTTGAGTTTTTCTATGCTTGGGGAATCATCCAACTCGGAATGGAGTTCTGGTGGAGCATCTTGGAGTAATTCTGCTCTGGTTTGGTCGGTGATTTTGATGGAGGGACTTGTAGTTCGCTCATTTGGGTGTTCGTCGTTATGATTTTCCGGCGTGGGTTCTTCCAAATCGTCCTCTGCTGACTGTATGGTTTTGTCTGGGTCGAATTCCTCGGCCGGTTTGGCGTTACTGTCGGGAAGTACTGTGTGGGGAGATATGCTTCCAGAGCTGTTCCTCTCATGCAAGTCCGATAGGTTCAAGTGGGATATATTCTTCATGGATTTCTTCAATGGTTCGGTGTCGTTCTTTTTTGGTGGTTCTTCTTCCTTATCGTCGTCGCTGCTGTGGTCTTGGGTTATCGGCGAGGTGGTGCCCGAGACTATGGGTGTGTCTGTCAACGGACGCTTGTTAAATTCCGGAAGTGATGAATTGGACAAGTTGCTGGCATCGAGTTGAGTATCTATCGAGCGACCAATTTGCATAGCTTCGCCAGTATATGGATATGTTTGGAGCTTGGTGAGGCTGTCGGGAACCTGGCTACTGCCACTACTAGATAGCGTGCGGAGATGCGAGTGCTTGTTTTGGCTACCAAACTCCTTAACATGGTCTAGGGGCCCCGACTCGGGCGTAGCAGTGCCACTATCGCTGCTAAAATTGTCGCTGGAGTTGTCGTTGGAATTGTCATGGGAACTTTCTGGAGTGAAGGAAACACTTTTCGTTCCTATAACACTTCTCGACACTCCATTGTGGTCCAGGCGTGATTTCCTGGAGTCACCAGACCCCAGGACGACGTTTGCGGATTCGGACATGGAGGCGTTCGGACTTGGTGCTGGCAACTAAAAGGAGCGGAGATGAGCGGTGTCCTGCAGCCCCCAGGTTAAGCACCCAGTGCACCACATTTTTATCTGGTGGTTTTGTACCTTTGCTGGATGATGATCCGACGGTTAGGCGCAGCGAGTAGCATCAGGTTTACATCCAATTGGCGACTGGATGTGCTGAGGGTGCCGAGAATGGTGTTATCTGGCCGGGAAAAAATTCCTATTTTACGAATTTCCAATGAAAAAAACCACTCTTGTGGTGATGGTTCTGATCCTGAAAACCAGCAAAAAAAGGCCAATTTGGGGTCTATGGTAGAACAACTTCAGGAGCTTGTTCCAGGAATGCTCACAACTTCGCTTCCAAGAACTTTATTGGCACCGGATATTATTCTTCGAATATGCCCTACTCATCTAGGTGATGTCCATCCTGTATTCCTCAATATAAAGGGCCATGTATCATACTATACCGTGTGTAAGGCACTCCAGTTTGCCTTGACTTCTCTTGTGCTCCATCCAAAAGTCGAATTGCACATAGAATCCATAAAGGTTAACCCAGAGGAACAGGTCCAAGGACTCTACCCAAATACCACCAAGATATATATCCGGTTCTCTACGTGCTCGGAAGGGTGTCACCATTTGGACCAGGGCAAGAAAAACCGGTTCCATTCTACTTCTGATGCTAAACTTGGGTCGCATAGCTGGTCTATGGAATCCAGCAAACTACCAAAAATTGGCCAGTCGGCATCTATAACTTCGATTATCTCGCAATTGGCTACGGCGTTCACCAAGGATGAAAAAGACTTGGAACGAGTGATCTCAGGAATCTTTATTTTTGAGCTAAACGACAAAAATGACCAGATTATAGTTCACACCATCGAAGACGTCAATATAGTGGAGAAAACCGATCCGCAAATGCAAGTGGCTTGAATTGTAAATAGCTGTATATATCAAGTTTCATGTCCGTCTGCGAGGTGGCCGATCTCGCTCAACAAGTATTGTAACTTTTGTTCTTGGCTCAATTGCTTACCTTGTTGCTTCTCGAGCCATTTCCACATTCCCGAAGAAGACGTCTTCCAGTTGCTGGTACGTGAATTGGCTACTACCTGGGCGTAGGCTAGCTTGCGGGTTTCGCTCACTTTGAAAAGTAGCAAGATTTGAATAACCAATATGAGAACCAAGAATATACCCAACCCTGACACAACCAAGACAATATTCTCGAGAATGAATTGATTTGCTGAAGTGATGCTGGTTGGTGTTTCTGACGTTGTGACTTGTAGTTTCTGTTCTGGTATTTTGGGAGCACTTATAGTATCAACTATAGTTTCAGGTACTGGAGCAGTTTGCTCGCTTTCAACGGTTTGCTCTTCAACCTCGGCTTTCAATGCAGCAATATAGTCAACGGTGGTGGTGATTTGAGTTGCCATACTCTGCTTTTCAATAACACTTTTTATCCACGATCTTCCCGACCACTGAATGAAGAACGATATGTAGACTTTTGTGGTGTTGTTTTCTCCCCAGCAGAAAATGTACCTCGTCATCACCGAAAAAGAGTTTCCCAGTGGAACATCTGGGGTAACAGTTCTACTGACCACAGAAACATAGTCGCCCAAATTCATGTGTTCAATGGTCTCGCTCACCTCACACATGGTTGATTTGGGTCCTATGGAGAAGCCTAATGCTTTTCGATAAGTATATTGACGTTGGAGTTTTTTCGGTTCTTCTTTCATGGGATGGAAATCGCCATATTTCGAGATCTCGCTGGCATCGTGAGATCGAAGAAACTTGGTATGGAAGTCGGTATTGTTGCTTCCAAATGCTAAGTCATACACCACTCCAAGTGGAGCATTGATGGTTTCGTCACATAATTCTGTTTCGTTTGGCTCTCTTATTTGGTCCAAATCCGGGGTGGTAGGAGGATGCACTTCCGGTCCCATATTGGTGTACTTGGAGTCCGGTTTAAACCTACGAACAGTGACATTTTCAATTGCTGGCTCTTTTTTTTCGTCGGTTTCCACAACTTCAGCTTCGAGTTCGTCACCTTCGTCGATCTTTTCATCATCTCCATCGATAGACAAAATATAGGATTGAAACTTGGATGGAGAATCTGGGTGATCTTCAACGTCAGAAAGCTCAATTAGTGAAGGTATATGTTCTGAATCTTCGTTTGGCTCTGGTTCGCTTGTTATATCTTTTCCTGTTGCTTTCAGCCACACCGTACGCATAAACTCGAACGTGGAATCTCGAGAACTAAAACTAGCAAAATAGTGTTTGGCATCTTTGGTTTCGATTGCTATCCCATTAGGGAAAAGACCTGCAGTTGACTTCTTTTCAAAAGAAACTATATCTTCTTGTGGGATCACTAGATTGGTTACCCAGCCTAGGAGATTCGAATTGAAGCAGATGTAGTGTTCGCTGATATAGATACGACCCTGAAGTAGAATTTCTCGGCTGAGTGCACACGCATAATCGTCCAAAAGTCGATCTGTGAGGTCCAACGATGGGAAAAGCTGGTGGAAATCGGTATTTCGCTTGATGGTGGTGTACCTGTAGTTTGTATCTGGTAAAAATTCGTCGACGTAGAGTTTTGGGTTGAAAGTTGCTTTTGGTGCTGCGGCATCAAGAATACTTTGAAAGTTGCCCTCGGAAGTTGTACGTTTAGACTTGCGATAGGTGATGATTTTGGGAGACGTAGTGCTCATTGGAGGTGATGTGGTGACGGAAGAAGATGCAATTGACGAATTATCATCAAGAGAGCTTCTCGTTTTAGTCACTGGATTCCCCATTGATTTCTCGAGTACTTCTCGCTTGAGCGTATCTACTCCTTTCGCCCCATCTTTTCGTTCAAACAAACCATTGGCACTTTCGTTGGAGATCACCGAATTTGCATCTTGTCGAGTAGTGAACGGATCTGCCGGCGACGATTTCACCATGAAAGGTGATTGCAAAGCCAAGGACGAAAGTGACGATGTTTGTGAGCCGGTGAAGATGGGCGCTAGCTTTTTCTTTTCGTCCAAAGACGAACCTGAGTCGGAATCGGTGTTCATTTTGGAATCGTGGTCGGCATCGGCATGATCAATTTCGTTTTTTTTTTTGGATTTTTTCTCTAATTTTTCTTCAGATTCGTGTTCAGGCTTGCTGCTGTTCTCTGGGAGTGGTAGGGTTTCCGTAGAGGGTGGGAACGAGTACGACCATGCATCGTCATCGTCATTCATATTGCGATAACACACGCAATGAGAATCTGGGGAAATGCAGGTCGCTGTAAAAACGAGAGGGAACGAAAAGTGAGAAAAGAAGAGAGAGAATACGAAAAGAAGAAAGGGAACAGAAGGAGAAAAAGAAATAAAAAGAAGGGAAAAAGAAAGGGGATACGAAGCGATAGAAAGGAATACGAAGGAGAGAAAATCAAAGAGACTCCCAAACGGAACTGTCTATTCCACAAACATGCTCCTATGCTAAATACGCTGATGCGACGAATTGAACCTCATTGAGTCATTCATGACCATATGAGTCTTTTACATAATAAACTTACTGGTTCTCGGGACGCAACTTTCTCACCTCCTTTCCAACCTTCCAGATCTCCATGTTTCTGATGGTCTCCAACTCCTCTTCCAATCTAGCTCTGTAATCTGGAG